GACTACCTTTTCTTTTTTGAGAATATGGGAATTGGCGCGCAAAAAACTTCGAAACCCTTCCAAAGATTTTTCGGAGTCGTAGAACGCCATGCGTCTTAATTTCAAAAAATTCTTGCCCCCCCCCTTCCCGGATAAAATCATGGGACCCCACTGATAGATAGATATTGAGCCATCTTGCAGTCATGTACTGGGAAAGTGCGAAAATCAAAGCAAATCCAGCAAAGCCGTTTCATTTCCTTCAAAAAGTTGCTAGAATTTTCGTCGTTGTGTCCTTCAAAACTTCTCGAAACAGCATGAGTAACCTTTCTATAAATAACACCTTTCCCCATTCACTCATAATGATCACATCATTGTGAGAATTCGACGAGTCTGCAGTTCTCCGTCTATTTCTGTCCGCTAAAGAAAGAATGTCTGCATTTCGCAATTGACTAAGAGCGATGCGTAAAAAAACGAAAGATCAGCAAATATTACCCGTATGCCAAACACCGTTCTTCTACATTTTTGCACCCATATTTTTGTTCTTGAAGCCTGAACCCAAGGCATCACGAAATCCACTGTTACAACGAAGTGAATGTGATTGTCTGCACTTACGACCAATTGTTGAGTTGATACGGATGAGAGCGCACGTGAACGCAAGCGATGCACTTTTCTGAAACTTGATCGTGGTCTTATCCAACGTAAAAATAAACAAGAGATGAACAATCTCTGATAACGTGAAGTTTAGAGGTGGAGATTAAATAACGTGTTCACTAGGTGTTTGGCAGAAGGATCGAAAAACAGCGGGTAGAAGAAAACAACAAACAAGTTGGTTTTCTAAAGGATAAAGTTTGGGCTTTGAAAGTCACTAGATTCAAAGAATCAAAAATAAAATTTTTGGGCACGAAGTGTCAGTAATTCAAGTAATTATAATATTGTAAGATTGATAATCCCATCAAAAACTAAATTGTATTTCATTTCCGCTTCGTTCCTCCCGCAGACACTGTGTCTGAGGGAAGGAACGAAGCGGAAATGGAATACAATTTGAAATCTTCAAAATGCGTTTTTTTCCACTGAGAAATAAGGATTGGTCTTTATGCTGGACCTTCGAGCTCATTCTGAATTGCATATTGATGAGAGAGTCATAAATTTGAATAATTCATATGTGCCTAAAGCATGACAACTCGAGCGAAATTCAAGATTTTCACTTTTGTGCTTCAAAATCAGAGAATAACTTCCGTTTCCTTGATAGCAATTTTTTTCGTCAATTGCCACTTCAAATTTGTCTTTGGCAATTAGCTGTGATAGCAGAAAAAGTATTGGTAATTGCAGGAGTGTAACTGAGTCGAGAATTGCACCAATCATAATATTATTAATCATTATTAGTCATTATGGTCTTAGTGCTTAATGAAAAATCTCATCCAGACTTTTGAACTGAACAAACTACTCATGTTTTCTGAAATTAATCTGTCTTTCGCGAGTGGTTATAATAGCTGAAAAAATATAAGTAACTGCGGAAGTGTGTGAAAATCCAGAATCACCTATGTAGTCTCGGTGCGGAATTGTGAAAAATTTGGAGCAGAAATTTTCTAGGAACCAAGGTCTGGATATTTATACTTACTTTTAGAAAATAATAAAATAAATGCAAGTGTGACTGGAACGACAAGAGTTGAGTCAATTATCAAAGTTTTTTAGCGAAGTTATAAAAAATTCAAAATAGAAATTTCCATTGAATCATGATCATTGGAATAATCTAAGGACTTCTAAAGAACTGCATTTGTTACCCTATCAAAAACGCACTTTTTCAACAATTCATGTGAAATTCTCACCATGTCGCATACATTGAACTTCTCCTTCACAAAAAACTGGCTCAAGCGCTCTCAATTATAAGTACAACATCTCAGTAGGGCAATTATGTCGCCCTGAGAACATTCTTCACATTCCAACTTCCTCATCAGGAAGTCCTGACGTCAGGAAAGAAACTCCTATAAAACGTCTCCTAAGATCTCACTTCCTCTATCGAGCCACCCCCCCCCCCTCCTCCCCACCTTCTCTCATTCCCGTGACTGCGTTGTCATCGGGGCGGGGATTGCCGTCGTCGTGTATATAAACGCGAGCTGCAGACGGAGGGCTTGTTCCTCGTCTCGCCCCCTTCAGCTCGGGCTTGGGGCACATGGTCCCGGCATTTTCACGTGAATCTAGCTCTGTGGATTAACTCTTCTCTTTGAAGCGTTGTTTTGCGAGTTCAACTGCTCCATTTGAGCTGCACTTTGTTACATGAGATCTTAACTCTAACAATATTTGGGGATTACTGGGGAAAAGGGGAGAGGGGGAATGACAAAGAAAAAATAATTTGGTTTTCTTCTCCTATGCTTATACGCAGAACCCTAGATTGTCTTACAAATCATCTGTTAAAGCCTCACTTTATCATGTAGTTTTCTTACTTACCTCTTTCTCTTTGTTATTTCTTTACTTTTTTCTTTGCCTTCTTTATAGTGGAATTAGTGCTAATTTTATCAAATGATTATTAAATTCACTATTTTTGCTAATTTCAACTAAAACTTTTCAGTCAATTCGTATGTTTTTCGTTACACATTGTTAGAATCATCCATTTTCCGTTTTTGCTCAAAAAGTCCCTTTCACACTCTTAGTGCTCCTGATGACGTCAGTTGGGGAAAAATTAATAGTCATCTTTTCTTGATAATGTTAGATCTTCATCTTATCATCCATTTGCTAATTTTCTCATCTGCAAATTTCTTCACCCACACGCCTCGTGATAATTATGTTTCAAAGAATTCAAAATCATCTTTTTTGCCTTTGAGTCATGTGTCTGATAACGCATGAGGAAACTGGCGCAGATGTTTGGTGTTGTTTACTCAGTTAACCGAATCATCTTATAGAGTTTCGTTGAGCTTGGTTGAGCGCAGATAATCCTTAGAGCTTATTTTAAAATCGTAGATTTGCAACTCTTATGAAATTGCTTCCCATTTGTGATATTGAGTTTTTTAGGAAGTATTCACTCATCTTTTGACGCTAAATTTAGTTTCAAGTTACAAAATTTCTTCACTTTGCTTGGGTAGGTTTTTCCGCCAACTTCTGAATCTTTAAGCTTTTTCGATTTCTATGAGGTCTTAACATAAAACTTGTGACACTTTTCTCATTTCTCCAGAAAAATTTTAAGAACTTCAAAAGAGTATATGAAAGCAACTTTTTGACGGCACTTATCCATTATTTCTTTTACCTCTAAAAATTCTCTCTTTCTTATTTTTTATGCTTTTTGACTTAAGCAACTTGCTTTTTGACTTTGAATAATAGCAGTAATACGAAGGCAATTTGCAAGCTTAGGCTCTTCAATAACGCAAGCTATAATATTTGTCAAAAAAAATCGAAAAATATCAAAAATTCAAGATTTGGATTTTTTCATGTGTGACATGTATATATTGAAAAGCTGCAACCCTCCTCTTGATCTGAAGACGCAAAAAATTTTCTGAGAAAGTTTTAAAGATTTTCATCTCCAAGTGTGAGAAAATGTAAGTTACGACCCAATAAGCAAGTGCGTCACTCATAGAAATTGCGCATATCTCCATGTTCTGAAGCTCACTGTTCCATAGATTTCACCAGAGACAATCAGTCATTATAATTGGAATTTTTAGCCACAATATTTACCTTTTTGCCATAGATGGAATGACGTTAGTGCTTGGGAGTCAAAAAACGCATGGTCGGTTCGACGTCACCCAGACGAGAGCGATCGCTTCGCCCACGTTCTAGTCTAGTAGCCAAACCAACATATCACTTGGACCTTGAAATTGTTTGTTGCTCCATAAAAAAATACGTGAAGGCCAAACGTCGACGGTACTATGAAAGCAGCAGAACTTTTACTCATCTGCGATTGAATTACTAATTTATCAAAGACGATAGAACACCTTGAAAACATGACTTTTGAAAATTGTGAAGGTCTCTTCGCTTGATTAATTATCTGCTATTTTCTCGCCCATCTATTCTGAGACAAACTAAAACGAGATGTCACAAAATACGAGTTCTCTGAAGTTGAACCAATGTCAAGGCCAAAAAATATTTTCAGGAAAGTGATCAGTGGTGCTGATGGAGAAAAAATTGTTGTCTGTAACAAGTGAAAAGAAAATCGGCATAATCTGCACTTTCACGCGAAAAACACACACTATACTTTGGAACAGAGAGAAAATAAGTCACTAGAAGACAAAATATTCACTTGTGAAGTCGCGATGCACCATCTAGGTATTTTTATGAATATTTAACGATAGGATGGACAAGAACTCAGCACTGAAATTTTTGAACTTGTAAAAAGCACGAATTTTCTTTTTGTCAATTATATACATTACCTGTTACTGATTTCTTATGCTTTTTGTCCAGATTAGCTCAAAGTATAATATATATAGACAATTTATTTGTGTTAAACTTCTCTCGAAAGGTCGATTCATATATTCTCAACGGAGGAGGAAGTTTTTACGAGGAAGTTATACATACTTTAGCGAGTGCCATAGAACTTTTGAGAATAGAGTGAAGTTAGGAAAGTCTAAGAATAGCACACTTAGGTCAGTGCAACTCTTTCAGAACATCAGTAGAACGCCTTTGAGTCGTGGACTATTTGAGCAAAAACCTGCCCACACTCGTAATTCTGCAGAAGTCCGAGTTTAGTACATATCCTTTCATTATTGTTTCGCATTTCCTCTTGAACCCAAAAATTTCATTCTTTTCACCGAATCTGTCTGTGGGCCTGCACTTTGAGCCCGTTCTGTTTCCTGGTTGTTGATCGTTCTCGGCCGATGCCGTCAACAAAAACTAGCATCAAAGGCGACGGGACGGCGCGAGCTCCGCCCCTTTGCCACTTTACTGGTGGGGCAAGGGCTAGTCTGGTCGGCCTGATGTAGGAGCATCACTCTCACTTTTGCAACTTATGAATCCTTTCCCTTTGTCTCATAATCCTTCGACATGTTACTCGTCATTCGCATTTTCCATCCTATTTTTTTACGTTTAAAATTTTTTTCCAGAAAATGTTCATCATCCAGTCGAATCAGCCCAGCTATTGCAATAATACCTTTGCCTCCGGCTCATGTCATACGGAATACGACGGCAAGGTGAGGAGCAAGTCACGACCACATTCGAATTTCATTCTCATGTAAAACCTGGAGACGCCATCAATCTCAAAGGCGTCATTCCAGGTTGAATCTGCCCTTCAAACAAAATGCGCCATGGGTGGATTGTCTCGAGGACTTCGTCGCACTGGCAGTAATCTGTCCGAATTTTCATTGTCGGACCGTTGTGATTACGATGCTACACAGGTTAGAATTGAATTATTCTTTTCTGTAGAATTGATAAGGAAGTAGAAAGCCAATGGGGCATTAGGGATGCGTTGATTCAGCGGGTTGTTTACTGCTGGCGGGCATTCGAAAGAGAGTTCAAACTGGAAAAAACAAGCGTCATTTGCCAGGCTGAAGGGATCTCTGGTTTTGCTTTTTTTTGGCAAAATTCTTTAAAAAATCGTAAAAATCTTTCCAAACATGGATGGTACGTTTATATTAATAATTCATCTTTTCATTCCAGGTTGAATTCGATTTCACCCTGAAACACCAGCAACCAGTTTGTATCCGTGTACAAACGCCATGCGGTGAAACCGGCATGTTTGAGCTGAATGACATGGTTTCTGAGCATGTCTTCCGCCCCATGCAACATGGTTGCGGCAAAGGCATGTGGAAGATCGACGTCTTGAAGGATGCTGAGCAGAGGTTAATAATCTTTATGCATTGAATTTTTACTTATGTGCATGTAAATGTGTTATCTGAGACTTGGATAGGGGTAAAAACAGCTTAATAGCACGGTCCAACCAAATCAAATTGAAGACGGTGAGATTTTGATGCTTTGTGATAGCAGAGCCCCTAACTAAGTAGCTACTTAAAATCCGTTGCAAAATATGAGTTCTGAAGCTAGAAAATCGCTCTGAAAGGTAGAAGGGGCCAAGGTAGCTCCGCCCATCAGCATGGGTGCTCTGAAGTTAATGAATTTCAAAAGTGAGTTCAGGGTAGACGAAATGTTGAAGATCTAATAATTATAAGGATTAGCGAACTTATCACAACTGTAGGTATATCAGAGCCCATTTTGGATTTGTTATCTTCAGACCACCCACATTGATGGGCGGAGCGACCTCGGCTGCTTCTACCTTCTGCAGCGATTTTCTCGCTTTGGAATTCATCTTTTAAGCCGGGACTTGGGTGATCACATAATAGGGGCTCCACTATCATATCAAAATTTTCCCACTATTTAATGATGCTTTCAAATTCAACTTTTTTTTCTGAGCGAATGAAAGTAACATTGCGCAATACTGAGCCAGCATGCCGGCCGTCGGCCGACGTGCTCACAACAACAATATATGGCAGAGCATGTAAACAGAAGCGGGTTTGTTGTGTCCGATGCTAAAAATAACGCGTAATGCGTGTGATGCACGGTACACGGGTTCCGGGTGTATAATTTCGGGTCGTTTGTGCGTTAGCTCGCACGCATCTGCGACAGTTCTATAGGCGATTTATCGCATGCACAGACTGAACTCCGCCGCGTCTGAGATAGTTCATGCAAGGCAGAGACAGGAGACAGTAAGAGGGATGAAAGAGCGCTCGGCCAGAGAGACGCCGACAATGTCTGTAATTACGCCCTGTCTTTGCGTGCGATAAATCGTCTATTTCTCAAATACATGTGAGGAAGTTGATGATTTACGATCTAAATTTCCTTTTTTCAGCCAGTCCGTGCTCTCGAGCATCTCCATGCCCATCAATGGTGTCGGCACCCTGTTCTTCGTGATCGACGAAGATTTCCATCCATATTTGGCCGACAAGGAGTTTCTCCACATGTCCGGTGCATGCCGAAAACATCGAGTATAAACGCGGCTCTTAGCTACTATCCCTATTCATTTCCGTTCACAACGGTCTCATCAAATGAGACTTGTAGTATAAGCTAAGAGCTGCCACTCTTTATCCTCTGACTTTGAAGAAATGGGAAGGAGAATCGCTAAAATGTTGTTTATTTGTTGTTATTTACATCTACATCACCGCCAGTAATGTACTCTTGACGGGACCTACATCCAGCACTTCATAAAAAGTCCTTTAGTTTTTCTGCTATTTTCTTTCGTCCGAATAATCTCCCACTTTGCTCTCTTAATTCTCGGGTAACACTTTTTACTTTCATGCGAGGACTCTGTCCTTTGGGGATCAAACGGGTCAGCACAGGATCTTCGTTCTTCTGTAGATGTACGGTAGTTCTAATTTTTGTTTTGACGTAACCAGCCATTGAGAAGCCACTTTCCCATCGTCGTACGGCTAGAAATTTTATTACAATAATCTTTGCGGTTAATGTGGAAGTTCTCTGTTTACATTTCAGCTTTTCTGGAATGTTCTCAACCACACGACTGCCAGATTATTGTAAGAAATTCTTGCTCAAGACGGTCTTTCGCGCCTCTAAATTTACAGCTCATTTCAAACCACAACAGGGAGCAGTGATTACTGTATTGAGATTTGCCAGGGACAGAGTCCTCGCTAGAAAAGTCCTCAACCCCTGCCACCACCACCATCCCATGTATCTTTCGATTCTCCAGCCCTTCATCATTCATTTTCATTGTTTACTGGTTCCAAGTTCCTAACTCCTTTCAAAGATCCCCTTTGAGTCACTGCAACTGTACAGTCCCCTGATCATATCGCTTAGATTTAAAATTTTCCTTTAACGGCTATGATACAATATTGATTAGTTTGTTGTTGTGTATTTATTAGCACTTATTTGTTGTCTGATCACTGTACAATCAGACTGCTATCATGTAGTGCAGATCAATGGCTTCATGAAAAATGAATAAAAAGTTGAATAATAATTTTTATAGCTCCGAAGAAAACATATCAACGATTCATAAAGAAACAGAAATGACTAATCAGATCTCTTGCAAAAAAGGGACACATTCGTGTCTTCCAGCATTTTGAAAGTCATTTAGCAGGAAAATTGTTAAGATGGTAAATATCCGAAAACATTAGTTACGTTGTAAATTGTTGCTCACCTTTGGCCAAAATGGAGTGGCCCAGACAACTGGCGCTGAAACTTCCGCAGCGCTTTCGCAGCATCTTCGCCGAGTCAACTGCGGAAGCCCTGCAATTTTACAGCATGCATTTTACAGCATTCTCAGCTCTATGGAAAGTGCTGCGGAAGTTCCGGTTTACGATTGCTCTGACGTTATTCCTCTGCGGAAACCCTGCATAATGAAGTGTGCCCTTTTTCAATGGTTAGCAAAATGCTGCGGAACCGCCGCAAATCCTGCTTGTGCTACGGAAGTTCAGGTGATCGTCTGAGGTAGTTGTAAGTGACTATCAATCAGTTTTTTGAATTATAGCAGAATTTTGGGACCACGGATCGCATACCGGCCCCTAGCGACAAAAACCGATGAATGTCTTGTATGCTGATGCATGTCTCAGAATTCGTCCCAATGAGTGTGTTCTATCCATCCCTGCTTGATTTTTCGTCGGTTCGGCACAAAAATTTTTGAAAGCTCTTGACCATGTCAAAAGCATACGTTACATCTTTTAAAACTCGTTGGAACTGCAAGGAGAATAAAGTTGTTAGAAAGAGGTGAAACGAATACGACGAAAACGTACGTACTCGCGGTAGTAACGCTTTGAAATACTTTCGGAAAGTTTCTAAGAAGTTCTTTGATCATCTCAGTAAACAAAAAAGTCTAGTGGAAATTAAAGTTTCGAATTTTTTGAGTTTTTTCTTGAGTTTAAGTGTAATTCCCTGATTTGAAAAGCCCCAAAAAGGATCAAAAGAAAACACGAATTTCGCTCGAGTTGTCATGCCTTGAGCACCTGTAAATTCTTCAAATTTACTGCTTTCATCAATGTGCAACTAAATTTCTTTAAAAAATAAATTTGAAGCATTAGCATTGTCCAATTCTTATTATTTCATTCCAGCAAAAAGTAGAAGTATTTTGGAGATCCTATACCATGTCTTAGAAAAGGCACAAAGCGTAGATCGATTATAATTCAGTTTTCAATGGACCGAACAATTTTCCATTACATTTCTATTTCCATTTCTACCACATTATAGATCTTCCATATCACATTGACGACAACGTGACCCACATGGTGGGTCTTCCAATGTCTGCCACCTGGGACAATGTGACCCATATGGTGGGTCATGGTTTAAGTTTTGTCGAAAAGACTGCTATTTTGGAGTACATTCGTTTCAAAAGTTCCCTTATACTCTAACCCTATAAATTGCTCTTGTGTTTCTCGCCTGCTCCAGAATTACTGTAGTATGTAGTTGATGATTTGCACAATTTTAGCTAAAATTTCTTCGTCTTATTCGTGGAAGGCATTGTCCCAAGAGGCAGACAACTGAAAATTCACGTGGTCGTCAACGTGATACTGGAAGTCTACTTATAATTACTTCATGCTCAAATTAGTAATCTTCAAAGTTCAATCTATTCCTCACACAAAACCAACCTGTTTGGTGCTTTCTTCTACCCGCTGTTTTTAAAATCTTCTGCAAAACATCTAGTGAAGACGTTATTCAATCTGCCACCCCTAACAGTTCACGTTATCAAAGACTGTTCAGTATCTTGTTTATTTCTATGTCGGATGAGACCACGATCAAGTTTCGGCAAAAGTGCATCGTTCACATGCGCACTCATCCGTATCAACTAAACAATTGGTCGTAAGTGCAGACAAACACATTTACTTCGCTGTAATATTGGATTTCGTGGTGTATTGGGGTTCAAGAACCGATGAGCTTCAAGAACGAAAATATGGGTGCAGAAATGTAGACGAAAGGTGTTCGACATACGGCTGATACTTGCCGATCTTTTGTTTGTTTACACATTGAATTCAGACAGTTGCGAAATGCAGACATTCTTTCTTTAGCGGACATAAATAGACGGGAAACTGCAGACTCGTTGGGTTCTCACGAATGATGTGATTATTTATGAGTAAACGGGCAAAGGTATTATTTATAGAAATATTAGTCAGTACGTGTTCTAGAAAAGGCGTATTTTGACATAGAGACAAAAATTCTAGAAACCTTTGAGAGGGAATAGAACGCTTTCGAATTTTTGTGGCTTTCGCACTTCGTTCGTCCCTTTTCTGCAAAATGGCACGATATCTATTAGGTTGATACCTATGTCTTGCACTATTCGAAAATTCAACTTTTTTAAAGTTCAATTTTTTCCCCGCTTTGATCAGTTTCTTTACTGTGTAATGTATGGATAGAAAACATCCTTGAATTACAAAATTACTCAAAGGAAATTCACCGTTATCATATCGCAATTACTCATGCTGATAAATATAAGCAATCAAAAAGCGATTTTTGAATTTTGGTCGTTAATTACTGAAACAAGCTAAAACTCATTTTGGTTTTGCTTTTGATTTCATGGTATGCTTTTACTGTATGAGAGATTCGTGCTGACCTATTGTACGAACAATAGCGATTTCCTAATTTTTTTAATGACTTTTTGCTTTGAAGTCGAAAAATGTTTGGCTTTCATGACAGGACAACTTTTTTTTACTCGCTGGAGAAGCCCTCAACCCCTGCTATGCCACAACCCGTCGTTTTCGATTCTTCGATTGCTTAGTCATTCATTTTCATTGTTTACTGGTTCCAAGTTCCCAACTCATTTCGAAGGTCCCCTTTGAGTCACCGCAAATTTACAGCCCATGATAATATCATTTATTTGGAATTTTCAACGGTTATGATGCGCTACGAAATAGTTCCTTGTCGTGCATTCATTAGCACTTATTTGTTTTCTGATCATTGTATAGGCAAACTGATATAATGTAGCGCGGATCAATGGCTTCAAAAAAAAATGAACAAAATAAATAACAAGTTGAATCATTATTGTTGTGTTAAGCCACAAGGAAGTAATTCATTTGAGCAACGAAATATCATTTTGACTAGTTCAAAAATAATGCCTCTGTTATCAGCTTTCGTAATAAAAATAGAGTGGTGATTTGTAAACAAGGTTGGAATGCAATAAAACAATAAAACAAGGAAGCTAGTAGATGACTTCCCAACAATGATTACGCTGTGATTTTGTTGCTTACGAGTGATTGAAAAAAGTTAAACTCGTCTAACAATGAGTGTTTACATCACAAATCTTAGCGCTTACTATCAAACTATGAGAATTTGAGAAGTTATTTCAGAGAGCTGTCTTTCTGGAAAATTTGCAGCTTTGGAACAACAGCTCTTTTTTGCAGCTATTCTGAATAGATCTGGAAAGCATACTGTTTTTGACGCTTATCATTCCTTGTGGCAATTCATTTTAAGGGAAGTGTCATCAGAAAAGGGCAAAAGCCAAATTTTTTTCGAGTGAGCTGAAGATGAAAGTTGGTACGAAGTGCATGACGTGTTACATAGCCATATTTACTACATTTTTGCGATTGGATACGTATGCTCGTGGAATCTTAGAAATTATTACTTGAACTTTTGTGCTGGCTCATAGTGCAAGCTTAACCTAAGGCTTGCTTGTGTTTGAATTCTTTATTGTAACTGTGAAAATCTTAAAAAATAGTTACTAGTACGGACATGACAGGAGCACACACATCAAGCAACTGTCTGGAGCCAATCTCGAATAAGACTATGAACAGGTTTTTTCGAAAATTTGCAGACTTACAGCTCCGTCCTAACTCATCAATGCTAATCCATAATAATAAGGTAAGGATGCGCTTTGATATTCGTGCTTACAACTGTTAGTCCTTTCCATTATAGAGCAAAATACTAACTGACACCAGTAATTCAAAAAGGCGAGATTTGTGCTTAGAACTAGCCGTTTTTTGATGAAAGATGCTCCAGAGAAATTTTCGTGGTGTTAGGGTTTCCATCTACCCGCAGGACTCTAGAATACTTTTCTAGTCACGAGGCAGCACTTACCAACAATTACAGTGAATTACCACGTGAGGTTTTTATTACCCGTCTCAGCGTCTGATCTTCATGTCATGATCCTGATCTTTGACACTTTGATACTGATAATGTCACTTGATCCTTCTCTCAGCTATTGCGTTACTAAATATACTGTAGTAAATCAGCTAACCTAGCTAGAATCGAGAAAGAGCATATTTGCGATTGACAAACATTGACTAGAGTAAAACTAAGGAATAAAAGCTGTGGTATTGAAGTTTCGCAAACAAGTCATGAAAAGACTTGGAGATCTGGCAAACTCTACACTACGTGTTTAGAGCTCTAAATCAATTATTGATGTACTTCAGTGTAAAATTTGAAGTACTTAAGTAGGTTGATCTGATTTTACTTGACACATTGGTTTGCTGTTGAGATCTTATAATATAAAAACATGGAAACGAGACAAGTTTCAGCATTTTGAAAGCACCAGATTGAATTACCATCCAATCAAATGTCAGGTTGTCGCATAAGTTCCGTTTGTTTCGACTTTCAATCGCGATGAGTCATGCACTTCTGATATCTGAATAGGTTTCAATGTGCATTCGATAAAGCTAAGCAAGCTCTACAATATGGCCTCCTTGTTTTTGCGCCAGCTCTGTTCCATATTGAGTGTGAAGCCAAAAACTAAAATGATTCAAATGCCCAAAAAAGATTAAGTTGTAACTGCCTTTAAATGATTCCTAAGAAACTCCTAAATGGCTCATGTATACGCTTCCCATATCAGACATTTATAAACACCATTGGTCTTCCTTTCTCGGTTAGAAATTGAAAAAAAGGAAAATTTAAAGGCTTCTGCCAAAGTCTTCAGCTGTTTCCACACAAGTATTTGTATACTGCAAAGCTGTAGAATAAAGACCTAAATTTTCACATTCTTACAAGCTCTAG